TACTTTCCTTAGCTGTCCCAGCTGTGGAAAAATTTGCCTTTTGTCTACTTGTGTCATCCTTAGAATTAATTGAGGTTTGAACAGCAGACGAGCCTGCTACTACCTCTGCCATAGTAGGAGCCACCGCACCTCCCCCGCCTCTCTCCTCAGAGACCGCAGCATCAGCCGCGACAGACGCAGCCGCAGAAGACTCGCCTTGTACGTCTGCCTGACCTGTCTCACCTCCACTTGTACACGATCGAATTAAATGCCCAATTTTTCCGCACCCGAAGCACTTCATTATGCTCTCGGATGTTGCGTAAATGGAGTAATTGAACCCATCCGCTCCTTAGTTTGTGATCGCTCCTTAGTTTGTGAAGGCTTCCCCGTGTTGTCGCTCCACTCCGCCCCCTTCCCCGCTCCTCAGTTTGTGAAGGCTTCCCCGCGTTGTCGCTCCATCCCGCCCCCTTTCCCGCTCCTTAGTTTGTGATCGCTCCTCAGTTTGTAAAGGCTTCCCCGTGTTGTCTCTCCACCCCACCCCCTTTCCCATTCCTTAGTTTGTGATCGCTCCTCAGTTTGTGAAGGCTTCCCCGCGTTGTCCCTCCACCCCACCCCCTTTCCCATTCCTTAGTTTGTGATCGCTCCTCAGTTTGTAAAGGCTTCCCCGCGTTGTCCCTCCACCCCACCCCCTTTCCCATTCCTTAGTTTGTGATCGCTCCTCAGTTTGTGAAGGTTTCCCCATGTTGTCGCTCCATCACGCCCCCTTTCCCACTCCTTAGTTTGTGATCGCTCCTCAGTTTGTGAAGGCTTCCCCGAGTTGTCGCTTCACCCCGCTCCTCAATTTGTGATCGCTTCCCCGCGTTGTCCACCCCCGTCCCCCACCCACCCATCAGGGGGCCCCGTCAGTGATCCCTGCAGGGCGGCCTCCGCATTTTGCGCTACGCCACTGGGTATACCGCGGTTTGAAAAGTCAAGGTTTAAAAACCATCAACATTTTATGCTATACCATTCCTACGGTAAATGTAAGATTTTTATTTACATATTTTTAGGACTACAGTATCTCCAGCAGAAAAGATATCCAATGATGCCATTTTAAAATGTGAAGAAATCTGTGTTTTTGAAACTAATGAAGACGGCAGAAGTCAATGATTTCATTATAATTATTTAGCCTGACATGTTTACTGCTCCAAAATATTTTAAATGTCTCTTAAAATAAAATATATTGTGTTCAAAAGAGAAAAAAAGTTTTGTTCTTTTACCTAGACATTTAAAATATATATATTTTAGAGCAGTAATCACAATACCGTGATACCGTGAAACGGTGATATTTCTATCCAAGGTTATCATACTGTCAGAATCTTATACCGGCCCATGCCTAATGTTTCTAATCACTTTCCTAAACTCACTTTCTATACAAAACATCACCAAATGGACTAAATGGTTTTCTTCCCATCTGTCTTCCCATCTATCCTGCATTTTAGCAGTAAACTGCCACAGACACAGATGGAATGGGCACAACTCTTGGAGTCCCAGCAGCGATACCACGACGCCGAGCTGCAGAAATGGAGAGAAATCATCAAATCCTCAGTATTGTTATTGGATCAGGTATGGTATATTACACGTCTGCATACGTGATAAAGTATTGTAGATTGGTAAAAAAAAAAAACTTAAGAATTTTGTTGTTTCAACTCATTTGAATTATGTAGTTTGAACAAGCAACAAAAGTAATCTTTTTAAGTGTACGCATTTGTGTCCACGCAGATGAAGGACTCCTTACTGAGCCTACAGAAGGGTGTGGGTCTGCGAGAATACAACTCCGAGTCTGACCAGAAAAGGAGTCGATATTACTGACACTTACCCTCCAGGCCACCAGGGCGCGCTGTGCAATGTAGAGCCACGTATGCGAATGAAAGGCGAAAAAGGGCCCAAATATGCGTGTTTGACTATGCATACCAAACAAAAAGAGATATTTGATGGAGACGCATCAGAAACTGCCATCAGCCGATCCAAGTGGACAGTCTACACATCTGTGGGACGGCTTTCCTTCAGGTTGTCGCTGTACGAGAATGAAGCAGATCGTGCTGGGAAAACGAAGAGCATGCTTTCTATTTTTTGACCCCTGCTTTCTTTTGAAGTGCGTTTTATTGGTACAAGGAACGAGGGATTTATCGTTTTAGCTTGATTTGATAGAGCTGCTCTGTCCCTTTTCTCGTTTGTAAGAGGTTTTTTCACACTCAAATCAATCATGCTGTAAATTCAAGGCTGGTTTCCTTGATAATTCTGCTCTAGATGATTTTATTAGGTTCTACAAGACCTTAAGTTTCTGTGAAGCGTTTACCATTATATGGAAGTGTTTTGTTTTTTGCACCTGAGAAAGACTGTGAAAAGTACAGTGGCTGAAAGAGCTTAACATGCTGCCATTTAAGAAAGCACGTTAAAAAAAACGTGAGCAAAATTAAAAAAAGATCATCGTCTGACAGCATACATATTGCAAATCCTCACAACCCAAACAAAATAAGAATACATGCTGCGTTTTCTCACAACACATGCAAATAGCATGAAACACAAAGGAATAGGGGGACCCAAAAACGTGACGGACCTGGCTTGGATTTGTTTGTTGTGCCGTGACTATTGGCTCAGGTGATCTTTGAAAGGTGATTTTTTTGGTTCATTTTAACATCCTCATTACACCATTCCCTTTTGTATACTGTTAGCTTAAATAACCATAAATAGCTGGGTCCGTCAAGATTTTGGGTCCCCTGAAACATTTCCGTCGTGTTCTGTGCTATTTGCTTGTGGTGGGCAGAGCGAGGCTTCATGAAACACTGAAACAGTCGAAGCAAATGTGTCGAATCTTCAAAACGTTTCGAAACCCTTCTCTATGATGACATCTAGTGGTAATTTTATGTATTGCTCTGAAACAGCTTTAGCACAAAAAATATTATGCAAATTGAGGAATTATACCCAATGTTGTAGAGTTGACATTTAAAAGTGATTTAGTAAAGTGGTGAGAGTTCTTGACTAGCATGCTAACAATGGGTTTGAATCCAGGGTGATGTAGTTATATTAGTTATCGCTGTAGTCACATGATTTGGGTGTTTTCAGTCGCTTTAACCACGTGACCTGAGTGTTTCTAATCACTTTAACCATGTGACCTGGGTGTTTCGAATCGCTTTAACCACATGACCTGGGTGTTTTGAATTGCTTTAGTTACATGACCTGGGTGTTTCAAATCGCTTTAGTCACATGACCTGGGTTTTTCAAGTTGCTTTAGTCACGTGAACTGGGTGTTTCGAATCGCTGTAGTCACATGACCTGGGTGTTTCGAAACACCTTAGTCAAGTAACGTCGGTGTTTTAAAATGCATTAGTCACGAGAACTGGGTGTCTCGAATCGCTTTAGTTATGCGACCTTGATGTTTTGAAACACTTTAGTCATGTGACCTGGACGTTTCAAAATGCTTTATTCATGTGACTGAAGCAATTCGAAACACCCAGGTCACGTGACAAAAGCATTTCGAAACATTCAGGTCACATGACTAAAGTGTTTCGAAACATCCAGGTCATGGGTGTTTTGAATCACTTTAGTCACATGATCTGGGTATTTCGAATCACTTAAGTCACGTGACGTCAGTGTTTCGAATCACTTTAGTCACTTGACCTAGATGTCTCGAATCACTTAAGTCACATGACCTGGATATTTCGAAACGCTTTAGTCACGTGATCTGGGTGTTTCGAAACGCTTTAGTCATGCGACTGGGTGTTTCAAATCGCTTTAGTCACGTGAACTGAGTGTTTCGAATCACTGTAGTCAAGTAACGTCGGTGTTTCAAAATGCATTAGTCCCGAGACCTGGGTGTCTCGAATCACTTTAGTTATGCGACCTTGATGGTTTGAAACACTTTAGTCATGTGACCTGGATGTTTCAACATGCTTTATTCATGTGACTGAAGCGATTCGAAACACCCAGGTCACGTGACTAAAGCATTTCGAAACATCCAGGTCACATGACTAAAGTGTTTCAAAACATCCAGGTCATGGGTATTTTGAATTGCTTTAGTCACATGATCACTTTAGTCACATAATCACTTAAGTCACGTGACGTCAGTGTTTCGAATTACTTTAGTCACTTGACCTGAATGTCTAGAATTACTTTAGTCACGTGACCTATGTGTTTCGAAACACTTTAGTCATGTGACCTGGTTGTTTCATATCACTTTAGTCACATGACCTGTGTGTTTCGAATCACTTTAGTCACGTGACCTAGGTGTTTCCGATCATGCTTCGGTGCAGTGTTTTGGAACACTTGCACTTCGAGACACTATTTGCATGTGTTGCGAGAAAATGCAAAGTTTTTGCTTAATTTGTTTGCAATGTGAGAATTTGCAACACGTATGCTGTCAAAGTGATGGTATTTATTCTAATTGTATGTGCTTTCTTAAATTGCAGCATGTTAAGGTCGGCCGCCATAGAAAAGGGACATCGCAGCTAGGAAGATGGAACGATGTTAGTTTTTTTTTATTATTATTACTAAACTGTGATATCTCTTGATTTATTTGAAGATGTAGAAAAATATATGAAATTAATATATATATATATTTCAATATATATAGAGGTCATTGCAGATATTTATTGTTAATTTATACACATAGAACACTTATCAGAGCTCTAGACCGAAAGAGTTTATAATTATGTGTGGCGCGTTTGAGACGCGACAGTGCGAGCGAGTGCGTTTGACGTATTTTGATCTGTGTCTACTTTGGTGATTGTAAAGTGTGTTAAATCATTCCACTCAGTCTTGTGTCTTCCTCCCGGCACATGAAGCCAAACTGCCTTTTTCTTGCCCAGCAGCTCAGTCCACTGGGTGTCTGTTTACACATCCGCCTGGCTTCAGAAAGCCCAATGGTTGAAAAAAAAAAAAGGCCATCTTGGCTCGGATTGGCCCCATGCACATATTCACTATTTCCCTGCTGAGGCACCATTCCTGTTTTATTATTGTTGTTGTTGTTTATTTTTTCGTTCTTTTGGTCTGAAGTAGGGCTGGGCCGATAAACGATATTATATCGAACCCTGATCAAATTTATGTCGATAACAATGAAAAGCTCTGGACTTTTTTACTCTATATTGATCTAACAGCCAATCACACAGCAGAAATGTGCAACAATGGGAATCTAGAAGTGTGTTGATATTACAGACACCCAACCCAAATTTATCGGCCACAAAAAATAGTTCATCCTATTTAATGGACCCTCTGATTTTTGTGGCTTCAGTCATTGTTGGGATACTCTTTTAAATCTGGAAGCATTAACAACTAATGTTGAAATATATACATCGTTATCGTTCAATATGGAAAAACAAAATAAATTGAGATTGCATTTTTGCCATATCGCCCAGCCCTAGTCTGAAGTGAGGTTTTTTTAATTTTACGCCAATAGCCCATTCTTTTTAAAGCGTTGAATTTACCTTATGGGAGATTATTAACTTTTTTTTCTTATAGAGCATAAATACATGCATACATGCTCCAGCCTAAACCAAATGTAGTATTTATAGCATAGTAGAATTTATTTATATATAATATATAAAATGCAAAAATTCCCTTTTTATGCAGACAGAAGTCATTGTAAAAAAAATCTCATGATGTGAAGAGATGTGGCACTTTATGACCGGGCGTTGTAGAAAAGAAAGCCTGATATATACAGTTGAAGTCAAAATTATTCGTCCTCCTGCGAATTTTGTTTTTTAAATATTTACCAAATGATGCTTAACTGAGCAAGACATTTGTCACTGGATTTCCGATAATATTTTTTCTTCTGGATAAAGTCTGATTTGTTTTAGTTCGGCTAGATTAAAAGCAGTTTTTAATTTAAAAAAATAATAATTTAAGGTCAATATTATTAGATGGAACGTGAGATCGATAGGTGGACTGGTGCAGTGGCAGCAGTAATGCGGTCGATGTACCGATCTGTTGTGGTAAAGAAGGAGCTGAGCCGAAAGGCAAAGCTCTCGATTTACCTGTCAATCGACGTTCCTACTCTCACCTATGGTCATGAGCTTTGGGTCATGACTGAAAGGACAAGATCTCGGATACAAGCAGCCGAAATGAGTTTCCTTCACAGGGTGACAGGGCGCACCCTTATAGATAGGGTAAGGAGCTCGGAGTAGAGCCGCTGCTCCTCCACATTGAGAGAAGTCAGCTGAGGTGGCTCAGGCATCTGTTTCACATGCCTCCTGGACGCCAACCTACCACGTTCTCCCCGTGCTCACATGGGTTTCCCCCGGGTTCCCCGGTTTCCTCCCACCATCCAAAAACATGCATCTTAGGTTAATTGACTAATTCAAATCAGCACCATAGACATGCTCCTAGTAAGTAGTTATCTCTGAAGAGCACTCACTATCTGTTCATTAGCTACTACAGCAGGGGAGTTCTCGAGTTCTACCTAAGCTCAAACTCCCCTCTCGCCTTGCAATGGGAGGGAGCCCCAGGCTCGAGGATCTTATGAGCTCAGGGCTCTCTCTCGGGACAGCATGCCAAACAACCTTTATAATCAATCATCAGCTAAGTGTGAACTCTTGAAATAGAAATTTGGGAAAATATGCACAGAGGCTAATCATTTTGGAGGGCTAACTATTCTGACTTTCACTGTATATATCAATCTATAAGAATGTGTTTGCTGGCATATTGCTGGTGGGGACATATGATCATATTCCAGCTACAAACCGTGTGGTATTGTAATAATGAATGTATGATCTGTTTTGTTTTTTTTAATTTCCCAGAAGAGCATCTGCAGTAATGTGATCTGAAGTTTTTTGCTGTGGATCTTTCAAATCCAACTTTAGTGTTGCTCTGCGCAGTGTTTGAAGCTGGCGTTTTTATTCCAGAACATGAGATCGTTGAACAGTTGAGGTATTTACTGCTTTATTCACTGTTAAACCTTCCAGAAATCTTTCTTTTTGGCATTAGAGTGCATCTGTATTGGGTGTTGAGTGTGTGTTCTGCAATATGATTTGACTTTTTTTTTCCACTATGTGTGATGAATTGGTTGCTCATGGTTTGGTATTTTGGAACAGATTGAAGAGAAGCAAATGAAATCACTGTCACAATCATGTTCACTGTACTGTATGTTTGTAAGTGTATATGAATGCCTTGTGTTTATTGAACTTCGAGAGAATTCATTTATTGGGGGTGGAGGAGGGTGGGAGGACCACCCATGTGAAAACTTTCAGCTTGGCTGTTGAACTTTCAGCCTGATCGTTTATTAATACACACTGACTTCTCATGATGTATCTGACCAAAGATTTAAATTAGCAAAAAAAAAAAACATGTTGATATTGTTAGAGATTTGGCATTTGTGATTCAGACAAAGCAAAGATTGTCCTATAGTCTATTTTAACGTTTATACACTCACCGGCCACTTTATTAGGTACACCTGTCCAACTGCTCGTTAATGGAAATTTCTAATCAGCCAATCACATGGCAGCAAATCAACGCATTCAGGCATTAAAACATGGTCAAGACGATCTGCTGCATATCAAACCGAGCATAAGATTGGGGAAGAAAGCTGATTTCAGTGAATTTGAACGTGGCATGGTTATTGGTGCCAGATGGCTGGTCTGAGTATTTCAGAAACTGCTGATCTACTGGGATTTTCACGCACAACCATCTCTGGGGTTTACAGAGAATGATCTGAAGAAGAGAAAATATCCAGTGAGCGGCAGTTCTGTGGGTGCAAATGCCTTGCTGATGTCAGGAGAATGGCCAGACTGGTTCCAGCTGATAGAAAGGCAACAGTAACTTAAATAACTACTTGTTACAACCGAGGTCTGCAGAAGAGCATCTCTGAACACACAACAAGTCCAACCTTAAGGCAGATGTGCTACAGCAGCTGAAGACCACACCGGGTGCCACAACTGTCAGCTAAGAACAGGAAAATCAGGCTACAACTCACACAGGCTCACCAAAACTGGACAATAGAAGATTGGAAAAATGTTGCCTGCTCTGATGAGTCTCCATTTATGCTGTGACATTTGGATGGTCGGGTCAGAATTTGGTGTGAATAACATGAAAGCATGGATCCATCCTGCCTTGTATCAATGGCTCAGGCTGGTGGTGGTGGTGTAGTGGTGTGGGGGATATTTTCTTGGCACACTTTGAGCTCATTAGTACCAATTGAGCATCGTGTCAACACCACAGCCTACCCGAGTATTGTTGCTGATCATGTCCATCCCTTTATGACCACAGTGTCTCCATCTTCTGATGCGCTGATGAACGCACCATGTCATAAAGCGTGAAGCATCTCAGACTTGTTTCTTAAACATGATAATGAGTTCACTGTACTCAAATGGCCTCCACAATCACCAGATCTCAATCCAATAGAGCACCTTTGGTATGTTGTGAAATGGGAGAATCTCAACATGGATGTGCAGCCGACAAATCTCCTGCAACTGTGTGATGCTATCACGTCAATATGGAGCAAAATCTCTGAGGAATATTTCCAGTAACTTGTTGAATCTATGCCATGAAGGATTAAGGGAGTTAAAGGGGTCCGACCCGGTACCAGTAAGGTGTACCTAATAAAGTGGCCGGTGAGCGTATCTCACTCAGTGCATCAGATTCTGTGCTATGAGGTTTTGACGTCATTTCTGTGCTGTGGCTATCATGACAACCGTATCCAAGCAACAATCACAAAACAACCGTTTTATTTATTTTATATATTTTTTTGAAAGTGTTCGGGTTGATTTCTGTTCACCTGCAAACCGTAACTTAGCAAAGACTTACTGTGTTTTTCTTTTTCTTTTCAGAGCTGTTTGTATCTCTAGACCAGGTTGATTTGTACATGTTTCCATATGCACTGTATGAATGACATATGTGCAGCGTTCACTGATATAGGAAGCAGAACTGTGCTGTGCGCGGTTTCCCATTCTTCCGACAACTTTGTCTGATAGAGACTCTGATTCAGTGGCTGTCTGATCTATGTGAAGTAGACAGATTACAAATAATAATAAAACAACACTGGAAAACTGGCCTGATTTGTTTCCTTAATGACTGTATTTTGTTTACTGCCAGATGTTAAAGGGATAGTTCACCCAAAAATGAACATCAAGTGGTTTCAATTGAGTTCCTTTCTTCTGTTGAACTCAAACGAAGATATTTTGAAGAAAGCTAAAAAAAAACGGTAACTATTGACTCTAATAGTAGGTAAAATTAATACTTTGGAAGTCGTAAATGTAAATTTACTCACTATTAAACACTCTTTACTCACCGTAAAGTGGTTCCAAACATTTCTGAAGACATTTTGAACAAAGCTAAAAACCATTGACATGCATAGAAAAAACTAATACTATGGAAGTCAATGGTTACCGGTTTCCGGTTTGCTTCAAGATGTCTTCGTAAGTGTTCAACAGAAGAAAGGAACCATTTTGAAACAAGTAAACGGAGACTAAATGATGACAGAACTTTCATTTTTTGGGCAAATTATCACTTTAATAATTAATCTGACACTATATCGGGCCACATTTGCAGCAGGTTTGATCCCTTCTGCCTTCAAAACCACCTTAAAATGATAGACCACTAAAAAATGTACTTACTACTACACACTATTCATTCACCCTCAAGCGGTTTTAAACCTTTATGAAGATATTTTGAAGAAATCTAAAACTTATTGATATGTAGTAGGGAAAAAAATACTATAGAAGTCAATGGTTACCGGTTTCCAACTTGCTTCAAAATATCTTCTTTTGTCTTCAACAGAATAAAGAAACTCAAACCATTTTGGAACAAGTAAACGGAGACTAAATGATGACAAGAGTTTTTTTTTTTTTTGGGTGAACTATGGTTTTAATACCTAATCGGCCACTTTATAAGGCACACCTTGCTAGTAGTTGGTCAGATCCCTTCTACTATCAAAACTGCCTTGGATGATAGTTCACCTGAAAATGTAAATTTACTCGCTATTAAACACTCTTTACTCACCCTAAAGTGGTTCCAAACATTTCTGAAGACATTTTGAAGAAAGCTATTAACTATTGACATGCATAGAAAAAACTAATACTATGGAAGTCAATGGTTACCGGTTTCCGGTTTGCTTCAAGATGTCTTCGTAAGTCTTCAACAAAAGAAAGAAACCATTTTGGAACAAGTAAACGGAGACTAAACGATGACAGAACTTTCATTTTTTGGGCAAATTATAACTTTTAATAATTAATCTGACACTATATCGGGCCACATTTGCAGCAGGTTTGATCCCTTCTGCCTTCAAAACCACCTTAAAATGATAGACCGCTAACAAATGTACTTACTACTACACACTATTTACTCACCCTCAAGCGGTTTCAAACCTTTATGAAGATATTTTGAAGAAATCTAAAACTCATTGATATGTAGTAGGGAAAAAAAATACTATAGAAGTCAATGGTTACCGGTTTCCAACTTGCTTCAAAATATCTTTGTCTTCAACAGAAGAAAGAAACTCAAACCATTTTGGAACAAGTAAACAGAGACTTAATGATGACAGAATTTTATGTTTGGGTGAACTATGGTTTTAATACCTAATCGGCCACTTTATTAGGCACACCTTGCTAGTAATAGGTCAGATCCGTTCTACTATCAATGGTTACCAGTTTCCAGTTTGCTTCAAGATGTCTTCGTAAGTGTTCAACAGAGGAAAGAAACTTATTTTGGAACAAGTAAACGGAGACTAAACGATGACAGAACTTTCATTTTTTTTTGGCAAATTATCACTTAATAATAATAATAATTAATCTGACACTATATCGGACCACATTTGCAGCAGGTTTGATCCCATCTGCCTTCAAAACCACCTTAAAATGATAGACCACTAACAAATGTACTTACCACTACACACTATTTACTCACCCTCAAGCGGTTTCAAACCTTTATGAAGATATTTTGAAGAAATCTAAAACTCATTGATATGTAGTAGGGAAAAAAAACAAATACTATAGAAGTCAATGGTTACCGGTTTCCAACTTGCTTCAAAATATCTTCAACAGAATAAAGAAACTCAAACCATTTTGGAACAAGTAAACAGAGACTTAATGATGACAGAGTTTTATTTCTGGGTGAACTTTAGTTTTAATACCTAATCGGCCACTTTATAAGGCACACCTTGCTAGTAGTTGGTCAGATCCCTTTTACTATCAAAACTGCCTTGGATGATAGTTCGCCTGAAAATGTAAATTTACTCACTATTAAACACTCTTTACTCACCCTAAAGTGGTTCTAAATATTTCTGAAGACATTTCGAACAAAGCTAAAAACCATTGACATGCATAGGAAAAACTAATACGATGGAAGTCAATGGTTACCGGTTACCAGTTTGCTTCAAGATATCTTCGTAAGTGTTCAACAGAAGAAAGAAGCTCAAACAAGTCTAAAACAAGTAAACGGAGACTAAATGATGACAGAACTTTCATTTTTTGGGCAAATTATCACTTTAATAATTAATCTGACACTATATCGGGCCACATTTGCAGCAGGTTTGATCCCTTCTGCCTTCAAAACCACCTTAAAATTATAGACCACTTTTTGGAACAAGTAAACGGAGACTTAATGATGACAGAATTTTATTTTTGGATGAACTATGGTTTTAATACCTAATCGGCCACTTTATTAGGCACACCTTGCTAGTAGTAGATCAGACCCCCTCTACTATCATCAAAACTGCAAGTTTGAATGTAGGAATATAAACCTAACTTTACCTCAATAAATCATTTTTCTATTTTCTAATAACCAACTTTACCTCAGTGCTGATTGCTGACTAGCTTAGCCTACTTAAAATGTGCAATTTTTGGCAGTTTCGTATGACACATATGGCAGAAACTGGCTCCAGCTCGACGCATTTGTTTTCTCGAACGTTGTATTGATCTGCTGTATGCTAATATAATATTACAATACACATTTGAGAGTTTCCCCGAGGCTTATCATTTAACACATCGTTAAAAACTAGCTATTTTGCATACAAGAACTTTAAGCTCTCATGTAGGCTATGTTATGCACTGTCATGTCTAGCCACTAGATAGAGACAAAGCCCACGTCCTTTTATTACGTAATCTTCATGCATAGGCTAGATGTAGAAAACATTGTTTACACCTGAGTCTTATATTTTATATTAAGTTTACCTTTAAAACAACGAGTAATTAAGCAATTCGGTTACAAATATATAGTTCATTACTACACAAATAGCCTATGGTGTATAGCCTGGGTACTGAGGAAATCCTTTATAACTTGAATACGTATAAAATTAGCAGTCGAAATCAATACATGAAATAAACTAGGTGGGAATAACCTAGATGACGACTTCAATCCTGCTCCAGTTTCCTTGTTTAAAAAGAGAGATAGACAACATTCTGTCATATCCAACATACCCGAAATATCTTCCTAGCAGTCATTAATCATCATTATAACGTCTGTCGTTTGACCTGTCAGTTTTTCGCACCAGACAAATTAATATTCTCCGCGTCCACGCGTGCATTCATTCATCCGACCATGGATGGTCGAGCGCACGAAGAAGACCCGCCATGGTCTGCATGCAAATTAATCTTCTGTGGGACTGACCAATGAGCGTGTGGGAAATCCCTAATAGGGCGGGGATAGAGCGGAATCAACGAATCACGGCGTGCAGGGAGGAGTATTCTAATGAGCAGGGAACACCTCGATGTGCAGCAATGTGAGGGGCGTGAGGGAAAGATTCAAAACTGAGATGCCCAAAACACTAGCAATAGAAGCGCGTGCGTGAAGGGGACAACTAACAAGCCTAAATGAGCATCATCTCTTTGCAACGTGCACACTTTGAAGCAGAACCAGTCTGACGCAGCAGGTCATATCGGGAGATTGATTGCTTTTGTTCTGTAGGGAAGATTTAAAGCGCGCTCCTGGAGGACCTCGGCTCGGGATTCCTCTGAAGATGGAAGAGGAGCGCGGGCGGAATAAAGAGCGTCTGGAGGCTGGTTTGACCTGGCTTTGTGAACTGGAGATATTGAAGCAACGGCAGGAGAGTCTGGTCCTCGGTGCCCTGTCTCTCGGGGACTCGGTGCCGGGATACCCGGCTTGGGGTGATGTGGGTCCCGCCCGCAGCAGCAGAGAGCAGGAGCAGCTCACTTTAAGACGACAGCTGGTAGGTGCGACATGTTCTCTGACGACGAACACCATTTTAAAATCCTCTCAAGGTCTGAAAAGTGTTGGGAAAGTTATGTGCACCAACACGCAAGGGGTTTGGTCAAAACATCCACTTTTTTGGTGTTACGTAAGTGGCACGTGAAACCTGCAGTGTGTCAGAAAGGGTTTATAACACCAACGGGATTTAATAGAGCAGAGAAGCATCTGTGTGATATAATTAAAGGCAATTTTCTTTTAATGGCGAGTGTGTGTTATTGACAGCTGTGATTGATGTGCACTTGGAAAAGGAGGCGGGGTTTGTAGACCTTTAACTACCCATTGTTCACTCTGCATGGATTTAAAGATTTGCTGAAAAGGGAAGCCTCACTTCGGCTATATATATATATATATATATATATATATATATATATATATATATATATATATATATATATATATATATATATTATTTAACTTTTTTGAATTAGTATTATTATAGCTAGTTATTACATTGTTTAATTTTTATTACAATTACAGTGCTCAGCATATATAAGTACACCCCTCACAAATCTTTTAAATTCATATTTTTAATAAGAGGCTTTACTATATTACATTTGTGCATATTCATTAGATATGCAGTACCGAAGCCAAATCTGGAGCTTATCTAACACAATAACTTACAATAACGGTCCAAAAACTAGTACATCTAAATGTATTTGCTATAGAAAAATATTAAATACAAATCTAAAAAAAGAGGAAAAATCAAGAGAAGCAAAAAATCTAAAATGGAAAATGTTGAAGTTTTGTAGGTTGTAATTTGCTTTTTTAAAATTTTTCTTGAATTTAATTGTATTCTCTTTCAATTTCACGATATGTTCTGTGACTAAAAAAATATTAGTATATTAAAATTTCTTTAATAAGTATTAGGTATAATCTAATAATAATTAAATATGTAGTTATATACAGTTGAAGTCAGAATTATTAGCCCCCCCCTTTGATTGTTTTTTCTTTTTAAAATATTTCCCAAATGATGTTTAACAGAGCAAAGACATTTTTACATTATGTCTGATAATGTTTTTTCTTCTGGTGAAAGTCTTATTTGTTTTATTTCGGCAAGAATAAAAGCTATATAATTAAACCTTTAAAAAAACATTTTAAGGTCAAAATTATTAGCCCCTTTAAGCTATATATTTTTTTAATTGTCTACAGAACAAACCATCGTTATACAATAACTTGTCTAATAATTTTGACTTTTGACAGATGAAGTCAGATTTATTAGCCCCCCTGTATATAGTTTTCCCCAATTTCTGTTTAACATTGAGAAGATTTTTTAACACATTTCTAAACACAGAGCCATAGCCAGCCTATTGGAGGGAGCTTTGGCAGTTATTCTCCTCAATTTCAATAGAAAATTATACAATTTATAAAATATATAAATATATAAAATTTTTGTGACATTTTATTTTACACACTAATTTTTGCTGCATTCGCTTTATTGCATTTAGCAATTTTGTCAAAGTACTCACCATGCTGTTTTACCACAGTGTTTATTTAAAAAATGTGCATTTAAACTGTAAGTTATTACGATTTTATAAATAATTTTATGAGATTAGAATCTTAAACATTTTGAATAAAGAAGTATGAAAAAAATAATATCATTAATCATTAAAAAAATAATTATGAATCCAATAAAACTTATTAACCCCCCCAACCCCCCCCCCCCCCAACCCAAAAAAAAAAACATTAAAAATTGTAGCCTGTAGGTAAATAAAAACTGGCCAGCTCATTTCCTAAGTCAGAATTTATAACATTGAATAAGTAAAAAATAAATTTGTCTTTATCACTTATTTTTACAATTTATGATGACATACTGTCAAAAAATGGGACAAATGTGCTCATATAGTGGCCAAATTCTGGCCAGTGGGAGGGTGGGTCTTTTGAACCACCCGAACACCCCCACGCCCCTGACTGCGGGCCTGAAACATAATAGTTACTCATCTCTAATAACAGATTTTTTTTATCTCTTCCATGATGACAGCAAATAATATTTGACTAGATATTTTTCAATACACTTTTATACAGCTTAAAGTGACATTTAAAGGCTTAACTAGGTTGATTAGGCAAGTTAGGGTAAATAAACAAGTAATTATATGTTCTGTAGACAATTAAAAAAAATGCTTAAGGAAGCTAATAATATTGAGACCTTAAAGTGGTTTAAACATTAAAAACTGCTTTTATTCTCCAAATAAAACATAAAAAGACTTTCTCCGGAAGAAAACAAGTTGTAGGAAATACTGTAAAAATTTCTTTGCTCTGTTAAACATCATTTGGGAAATATTTAAAAAAGAAAAAAAAAATCACAGGAGGGCGAATAATTCTGACTTCAACAGTATATAACCTATAATTCTTTCTTTTTGTTTTCAAGTAGGCTGAGGAGGCACAGTGTTTATCAAATTGCTGTTTCTAAACTAGCAGAGCGTGTAGTCCCTGCTGACCTTTCATTACCTGTCCATCAGTTCGTCCGCCTTCAGGGTTAGGACCTCACTCTAACTTAGTTTTCAATAAAGGGCCCGTGAAAAGGCGGTGAGAGAAATCAAATAAGCAGTCTCTCTTTCCCTGGAGTTTCTACCCCCATAGATGGGATCAGACAAAAGGCGCATGGAGCGGAATATTAATAAGCCCGACTCTCGCGGGACGGGTGCGTGCGGGTAAGCTGGAGGCGTGTCACCCAAATGAGCTGTCAGCGGCTCACAAGCTCCGCCCCGCCCTGAGACCACCGGAAAACATCCCTCAACCTGCCACACTGAGGAGAGTTTCACTCATCAAAGCCTCTATCTATCTATCTATCTATCTATCTATCTATCTATCTATCTATCTATCTATCTATCTATCTATCTATCTATCTATCTATCTATCTATCTATCTATCTATCTATCTATCTATCTATCTATCCATCAATGCATCCATCCATCCATCCATCCATCCATCCATCTATCTATCTATAGGTAAATCCATCCATCCATCCATCCATCCATCCATCCATCCATCTATTCTATTCTATTCTATTCTATCTATCTATCTATCTATCTATCTATCTATCTATCTATCTATCTATCTATCTATCTATCTATCTATCTATCTATCTATCTATCTATCTATCTATCTATATCTATCTATCTATCTATCTATCTATCTATCCATCTATCCATCCATCCATCCATCCATCCATCCATCCATCCATCCATCTATCTGTCTATAGGTAAATCCATCCATCTATCCATCTATCTATCCTCCAGTTTATCCATCCATCCATCCATCCAAATCCTGTCAGTCCATCCATCCATCCATCTTTGTCTTCCTGAGTGATTCCAACTGCATCTGTTAATTACCCAATTATAGAAAGTCAATCAGTTTTGTTTTCCTTAGGCAACTGCAGAGTTTGGTGCGCACTGCTCACACAGCCTTGGGTAACATGTAATTACACATGCATCCCTGTTAATTATATAATTAACAACGTAACCGGGAGAAATCTTTACAGTTTTCATGCAAGTTGTTTCATGTTAGTCCCTGTGCATCAAACCAGTGTTACCCACAAGACTCATTTGTAGTTCAGCTTTGTAGTTGGGAACCACGCTTTATTTTAACTAGTTTGTGCGTACAACATACAACATCTGTTCAAACGCACCGCATCAGCCCTCAAGGCCAACGCTTGCCTGCTGCATTTGTGTGGATGTGTGTGCGTCTGTAATTAGGAGCAGTTTAGTGATGTATGTTGTGCTGTAGGACTGTCAGAGAGGCAGTGTGTTTGTGATTCTGGTATTCATGATGTTGTGGGGACCAAATGTCCAAATTCTCTTGTGGGGATTTTTTTGTCTCCATGAGGAAATCAGTGCATAAACAACCCAGAATTAAGTAATCTGACAATGTAAAACTGCGGATGTTTTCTGTCTGTACAGTAAAAACACAAAGCGATATACAAAATAAACTTATTATTCATTCATTTTCTTTTCTTAGTCCTTTATTTATTCAGGTGTCACCACAGTGGAATGAACCGCCAACTCATTCATTCATTTTCTTTTCGACTTAGTCCCTTATTAATCTGGGGGTCACCACAGCGGAATGAACTGCCAACTTATTAAGCATATGTTTTAAGCAGCGGATGCCCTTCCAGCTGCAACCCAACATTGGGAAACATCCATACACTCTTGCATTCGCGCACATACGGATAATTTCGCTTATTCAGTTCACCTATAGTGCATGTCTTTGAACTGTGGGAGAAACCGGAGCACCCAGAGGAAACCCACACCAACACGGGGAGAACATGCAAACTCCACACAGAAATGACAACTGACCCAGCTGGGGCTCGAACCAGCGATCTTCTTGCTGTGAGGCAATCGTGCTACCCACTGCGCCACTGTGACACTCCATTATTAATACTATTATTAATAATACTAATAATATTAATAATAATAATAAACATCAATGCATCTATAGAGAGTCCCCTCCAAAAAAATGACCGAAATTGTGTGATAAACCAAAAATGTGTCTTTGTGTGTGTACACTTGGTATGCATCACTGTGTGGGGACATTTGGTTCCCACAAGTATAGCAATACTAGTCAATTTGACCTTCTGGCGACATCATTTTAGTTCCCATAAAGAAAATGGTTCATAAATCATTCCAGAATTAATTGTTTTGAAAAGGTAAAACAGCAGAATGTTTTCTGCAAGGGTTTGGCTTAGAGGTAAGGTTGGAAAGTCCCCTTAAAACACGAAAAACCAACATTTGTTCATGTGTATCAAGTTCAGAGATGTTTAAAGTAGAGGTGACCCCCCCCACCCCCACCCTTTTATCCACGACAAATGATGGCAAGGTTGGGATGAATGCCTCCAACAGAGATTGTCATTTCTGATGTTAACCTAATTTTAACCTTTTTGTTGTTTGTTTAATTGTTAAGCTACAAAAAAAGCAAATTGAAATGTAATAAGTCAATTAAATATTGTGCATGAATCAGATTTTT